TTTAATTAAAACAGACAGATGAGATACGTAAACTAAAAAAAAAAGAGAATGAGAATCAAAGAAGTGAAGAAAACAGCAACAACGAAGAAAAAAGTACACCAAAAAGAGAAGAAAAGCATTCATAATTAGTAATAAGAAAAAGATTAAATAAAAATGAAAGTCTAGAAAAGATTTTAGTTTGATTTTTATAACAGATTCTTGCTTACTTCAGACTACATCCAAGGTCAATTTTTAATTTTTCCTGCATCCCCTCACTCTTCTCCTCTAATACTAAAACCAAATCGACACTACAGCAATAAATTGATAAAACTGCCCTACCACTAACCCGCAAAAAAAAAGTTCAAAAAAAAAAAGAAAAGAAAATTAAATGTTGAAATTCAATTAACCTTTGTTAGCAACTTTTCTGTTCTTAGCCAGCAGAACAACAACCAAAACAAAACCTTCTAGAAGATCCAAAAATTCCAAAACTAAACTGTAGATGGTAACAAAAGATGTTAAAGAAAAATAAAGTTAAAAAAGTCAAATGAAAATAGAACAGAGGCAGAAACAAAGAAGGTAGAGTGGATCTGATGTAATGTAAGCTTTTTTGTGTGCTCTAGCCTGAAGATAAGACCAAGCAAAAAAGTCCGTAGAAAAAAAGCAACAGGAGAGCATTCAGCATACAAAAAAAATTTAAAGACAGTTGCCAATAACAATTTTGGCTTAAAAAAGTCTTCACCAAGAACAAGCTGATGAGACTAAACCAACTCTGCTGCAAACAATTCCAAAAACAGATTGTTCTTCAGCAGCAAACGCAGTTCTTTTTCTTTGCAATTTATTTGTTTCTGAAGATTGAGAAAAGAAGAGAATCACTTATAACCATTAAAAGCTTCAACCTTATTCGTCTTCAGTCCAAATTTGCAACAGATTTTGTCTCTGTTTTTTTTGCTCTCAAATCCTCCATTTATTTTTATATTTAGAGGGTACCAAAAAAAGCTTACAGAAACTCATTCCTATAAGAACAATAAACTATTGTATCTACTAGAAGTTCCATTCTATTTAGACGATCTATACATGATCCTTTTTTATGAAGAAATTGTTGATGCTATATTAAATTCAGTGGATTTATCTGTCCCAAAAAAATCACTTAATATATAGTTTGAAAAAGCCCAAAAAGTTTCTGCCTTCTGGATAAAAACGTGGAAGACTTTTTTCTTTATCAGAGAGGAAAAGAAGTGAAAAAAGTAAATCATACAGTTGTTTAACTAAGAATTCTTCAGTCATCATTATCGTCGTCGTTATTGTCGTTATTTTCATCGTTAGCACAGAGATCGTTCTGCAGTATGCTATCCGCCATTCCAATATATTATGTAAGATCTGTATCATTTACACAACGATGAAGTCATAGGTACAGGTGAACCCTGGTGTCATACTACTGCCACAAAAATTGCAGGCAGGTAATTTTTTTGGAAACTCGTATAACCTGTTGTTGATAACATTTGTAAACAGTAACAGAAATTTCTGGCTTCTTATTTGAAACATTTAGATTAAACTTGCTAGCTCATTTATGCATCCAGTAACAAACAGTAGTTGATTCTATAGTTCTGTAATCCATTTTTAACATACAACAGTTATTTCTACAGTTCCACAATTTAAATCTAAACGATTTTTTGACTGCTTAAATTGTTTACAAAAACCGTACAAAAATTTTGTTCAGAACCATTTTCAAAAGCAAATGTTTTTTCGACCTCACTTACATCCATTTTCAGCTCACTGTTCTCCACTTTTATAGAGACATATGTAAATTTTCGCTTTGTTTCACCTTTAGTTAAAATCGACAGTTTCTTGATGTACCATAGAACTCTGTCAACAATTGTTCACTTGTAACACTGATCGGTTTGTAATAGAAGCAAACTATGAATACGCCAAAAACGAAACCATGGCTAATATTAATTCACCGTCAACTCCAACTTTTTTCTGCTCTTTTTCTACCACCCACCTCTGAAATTATAAAAAGAAGTAAAATTGGTTCAGAATCTTTGAGATGTTTGTTATGTTTATCAGTGAACCATTTGGCTTACAAATATCGCTTGTAAATTCTGAAACCTGTATCACCCAGAAACTTTAGTAACCAAATAACATTATGTGTGACTCTCTGCTGTGACAAGCTTCACATTGTCTAATTGTGCTGCTCTAGAGACCCATCAAACAACCAGTCTGTACACTGCAGAAACAATAAAGTTTTGGAACTGTTCTGTAACAAGTAATCTGCGTAACGTGTTACTGACATCTGTCTGCAAAGTCGTCACGGTAAGAAAGTAAACTTCTGATATTCTCATTTTTTCAGTGCAACACTTTTAATTTCCTAGGTTTTTTGTTTCAGATGCTGCAACTTTCTTTATTACCGCTTCTGCATATTCCTGTTTTTCTTCATCTTCTTTAAGAAATAGTTAACATTTTATTGACAGTAATTATTCCAAAACCTGCTAGCATAATAACAAGTGATATTAAAACAGAGTCAGATAAATTCAAAGAAAAGAAAAAAATGAAGGACAGAATGCACAAAAAAAAGACTGAAGTATTGACAGAGAATAAGAATTAATGAGAAAAAAAAGAAACCGCTTGAGAAGGGGCAAATAAAGACAGAAAAAAAGTACTAGTAATATGTTGATGCTGATGCATGAGAAAAAATGATACTAATTGAAGAGTTGGAGAAGATAATCGAAAACCAACCAATTAACCAAACAAACAAACAAGCGAACAAATAAACAAACTAACAAATGAACAAATGAACAAAATAAGAAAAAAAGAAAAGTAAATTTCATCACCAAAGTAAATTTGTGGAGAAAAATAAAAGCAAAAAAAACCCCAAGTTTCTGCTAAATATAAATAATTTTCAAAAAAAATAAAAAAAAATAAAATAAAAAAAAATAAAGTTTTGAAAACCGTTTTGAAAGGCAAAGAAAAAAACTGCTCCTTCTCCTCTTTTTTTTTTTCCTTCTGCTGCTCTTAATTAGTATTGATCAAGAAGTTTTCATTATGCTAGAGTCTGATGATCATTCCAAAAGAAAGCCTACACAGACAAAAACACATGCACGCACATCATGTATCAGTTTGTCCGTAATACTTCTCTGTTAAACTGGACACTCACTGTCCGTAGATTCGTCCCATATGCAAATACACCGTTTCTATCTTTTTTTATTTTCTTTTTCTTTTGCTGTAACCAAAAATCAAAAAAGAATTTTACTAAGATTTGGCTGCTGCTGC